ACAACTGAATTTAGAATTTTAGAAAATAAAGAGAAATAATCATAACATTAACCATTAATATGGGGATGCTTATTCTCTGACTGTAGAAGCTCAGACTTAGTTACAAGGATATTTCCTCTAGATTTGGATCCGTTATCCAGGTGTATGTGGAGAATTAGTCATGTTCATAATCCTTTCAGTTTTTCCTGTCTAATTTCATATTAATGTTAGCTTTCTGCTAGAATGTGCCTTCTTCTTAGTATAGTATAAGGGCTGTTCTTAACACAAAAAGTTAAGTTTTTAATAATTCTATTTCTATTGAGGCTGAATTGTATATTTGTGATCTGTTAATTGTTTTAAGAAAGTTTCATTTATCATTAGATTAGTTATTTGAGAACACATTGCAACCACATTGAAGAGGTTTTAGCCCTTTTTTTCCAGCTAGCTGTACCACCCTGACATTTCCACAGGGTTACTGTGACATTTTCTCTATGTCTATGCTGCCCCTCTCTTGCACCTTGCCTTCTGGCCACTCAGATAAGCCTGCTCTCTAATAAATAGCAGTTAGATATGTATTTACGGTATTCTTTTTTTCCTTTGAGGGAACCGGGGATTGAATTCAGACCCTTGCACTGTGTCAGGGAAGTACTTATTCTACTGAGCCATCTCCCTGGCCCCAATTTACAGTATTCTTATGCTCTACTTATTTCATTACCTCTCAATGCTTTCTACAATATCTATATGTAACTGTCCATATCTATATCCATATCTACATCATTGTATCTATCTACTTATATCTCAATCTGTACTTCTTTTTTTTTCTTTTCAAAGTTTTATTGATAAACATATAGCAATGAGACAGTTTCAAATCAAATCGAAAGTACAGTTTCAACAAATAATACACTGCATATATTCTTCTTAGTGGTTAATCAATCTGTACTTCTTGAGGGAATGTTTGTTGTGGAAAATTATTTACAGTTAACACTTACAAAATAAACTTTTCCATCTATATTGAAGAAATACAGTAGGTGTTAGGGGATATATCCAGACAGTAAAATAGCTACTATAGTGAAGTTGATTGCTAAATCAATCACCCAAATAGTTACTTCTTGTTACAAGTACAGCTAAAATCTATTTATTTAAGAAACAATAATCCTAGAATAATACAGTTTTACTAACTTTTCTTCTCATCACAGAAACCATGTTATTGCTCTTATAACAAACATACTATACATAATTTAGCATACTACATAAATGAATATATATTGACCCCCAAGTGCATATTGCTACATATAAACCAAAGATCACCAATGTACTATGAAGATAAAGTATTAGAATTTTGTTTCTTCCAGTTCAGTAATATGTAATAATATTAAGACAATTGACTTTATACTTGAACAGTAGAGTTCTTGTTTAGGATTAATGTATCAACAGCATTTTGTATCACCTTCTTATCTTCCTTCACACTGACTCTAATCAAAATCCTTGATATTTACCCCATGATAGGATCTAGCTTCCTTTACTTCTGGCAAACACTTGACTAAGAAATAATCATGTGAGCAAAGAGAAAGCCTGGAAAGAACTGCAAAGTTGGTGCTATTTGAAACTCTTTAAACTTTATCCCTGCATTAAATTTGACCATTACAAGAGCTCATCAGCCTTCACACAGTTGCGGTTCCATGTTGAAACTTCAGCTTTTTTCTTTTTGATGAATGAGCCTTCTTTGAAAGACAAGGTGCACTAAGTTGCCCGACACTTCACATAAAGACCCTCATGGGAAACACCTCTCAGAGCTGAGGATCTGGGAAGAAATTTTTTGATGAATTAAAGTGTTGTTCTGCTAGGTTATGCATGCGATGAAGCCTATTCTGTTTGTGAGTCTAGTTGTCTATTCCAAGCCAAGTATAGAACTGTGTATTCAATTGCTATGGCTTTTCTCAAGCAAGGTCACTTTTGTATAAAAAGAAAAATGGCATTTGTAATTCTCTGTTCTTTCCTAGCAATTCTTTTTTTTTTTTTTTTTTTGGTTTTTTAGGGAAGCTTCTACCAGGTATTCAGGGTCCACTACTAGAACAGACTCATAGTGATCTGCCTGTTAACATCCTCCCCAAAACCAAAACTGGGATTACAGGTGTGTGCCACCACACCCAGTCTCAATCACCATCTCAGCCCACTCTGGGGTGGGGCCTGCATGGCAGGCCCAGGGATGGAACTGTAAGCCCCTGAGCCTGCTTGCAGGCAAGCTTTAATTTGCTGAGCTATTTGACCTGCCTTTTTCTAGCAATTCTTAGTCTTAGGGTTTCATTAAGTGATGTTTTTATAAACTGCTTTAGCTGAAGGATTTTTTTTTTTTATGAGCAGAATATATTTATTAAGAGAAAGAAAGCTCCTGTCCTGAGAGAGGGACTGGGGGGGGGGGTGCCGAGCTGGTTGTTCCCCCCAGAAGGATGTTTTTGACTTTTTTTTAAATTGTGGTTGGAATTTGTGAAAGCTTCACCTTTTCCTTCCCCAAATTGCTGTCCTTTCCTAAGGACCCTGTCTTTTTCCTGTCTGCAGCACTCACCAGAACAACCATGACCCTCACCTTGAGAACTACATTAGGTAAATGGACTAACTGAATATTTCGTATGTCTTTTTCTAGCCCATTTGCTTAAAAGTCTGCTGTGGTTAGTATTTTATATATCTTATATCAGAAATATCAACACATCTAATAATTATAATATCTATCTATCTATCTATCTATCTATCTATCTATCTATAGGCTACAACTTGGTTCATCTACAGTTAATTATTCCATGTGACACTAAAGCACAATTAGGCATTTTATTTTTTTAGCATTTGTCAAAATGTTAAGAAAATGGTAAAAAATACATAAATCATATAATCAGTATTTTCAATTTATTAAAAGTTATATATGCAGATAGCAATCCATTTTCTGCTTAAATTTCTCTTGAATTTAATATTAGAAAGCAGTATCTGTCATTGAATGCTTAGCTCTTAGATGATGAAGTGATTATATGAAGTCATACTTTTTATTTTATTATATGAAGTCCGAAGTTACAATTGTCATGGAAAAATTTGTATGTGGAAAGTTCTCATTCTTGAGTTTTAATTATTATTTTTAACTTATTTTTTATCAGTATGTGTTTGTAGTATGTCATGTTTACATTCTTCTTGGGGAATAGGTACATGTATTTAATAGATCCTAAATCTTCTTATTTTTTTCTCTTAATCCATGCTTTTTTCTCTATCTCTAGATCTGCTTTCCCCACTTTCATTTCATTTCCTTTAGTTCATGTTTGCAATGTATGATGCTCACATTTGCTGTAGATAGTTGGTACATTTACACAGCACATCTCATTTTTTCCATGTCTCTCTTCCCTCCCTCTTTGTGCCACTCTCCACTTCTTTGTCCCCTCCCCATTTGCAAAAGTTTTATCTTCCTATTTCCTTTCATCTGTCCTTTATATTCCTCTTACATTTTAAAATCCTCATATGAGAGAAACCACATTGTATTCAGGATTATGTGTCTGATTTATTTCACTTAACATAAAGTTTTCAAGTTTCAGCCATTTTCCTATGAATGACTCAATTTATCCTCCTTTATAGCCAAGTAGGATTTCACTCTTTATAGCTACCAGATTTTCTTTATCCATTCTTTTGTTGATGAGTGTATAGGCTACTTCCAAGATTTACCAGAATTCCAAGAGTAGAATGTGATCAGTGAACACCTTTTAAGTTTTATAAATGCACTGACCTACCAATTTTTAAATCATTTTACCTAAGGAAAAAATATTATGCATAAATGTTTGTTACTGCTTTCCATTGTATAACCTTTCTAACATCATGTATACTTTTGGAGTAACCAGAAGGCATGTGAGTGTCCGTCACTGTAGAGATGCTTACTACAATCAGTGCCCCTCTTCCAGGACATCTGCGCATTCTGGCAAATAATCAGGATTAATTTGGTCCTTGGGTATGAGTGGTTT